TCGGGAGTGAATGGGTAATTGGGTTTTGGTCCGAATCTTGAGTTTTGACCAAGCGGGCCCGGGGTTTACTTTTGTTTACTTTTTTCGAAATTATTAAAGATTGAATTTTTTTTATTCATGGGTAGTTTCTAAAGCTTATTTTGAATTGTTTGAACTATATTTAGTAAGAATGGATTGGTTTGGAGACGAATTTTAGAGGAAAGGCCCCGGTTGAGCTTTGATTTGATCACAGAGCGAGGTAAGTATCGTGGCTAACCTGTACTTGAAAGATTAGGACTTGTTAGTCTATTTGCTACGTGTTTAATATGTGGGTACAACATATGTGTGAGGTGATGAGTATTTATGTGTTGTTGTTGGGATAAAGCATGCGGGTGGAACTTGTTTCCTTGTGTTCTATTGCATTATTAATTGTGATATCCATGCTTAGGTTAGGTTATTACCTCTCCGATCATTCCTTCCGTAATTATTTCTTATTTCATAATTGTTGAGTATTTTTGAAGTCAGAGTTTGGTATCTTGGCATCATATTTATCGTTAAATACATTCTCCGCATTATTTAATTTCTCGAATTTATATTATCTTCATTACATGGTAAGGAAGAGTGTAAAATAACGAAGGGTGTTTCCGTGCCATCGCGTTTATCTCATTTATTGATTAATACATAGTGAGGAAGAGAGTAAAAACTATGGCCGACTTCCGTCTATGTTCGACCAGCCGGTCTCACAGTCAGGCAGGCTTCTACCATTACGCTCACGAGTAGAATCTTAGCTTGAACCAACTTTCGGGCACCTCCGTTACTCTTTAGGAGGCATCCGCCCCAGATAAACTACCCACGAAGGGTGATGTCGTGCAATTTATCTCATTTATTCATTATTATATGGTGAGGAAGAGAGTAAAAGCGCGAAGGGTGATGTCGTGCTATTCATCTCATTTATTCATTGTTACAAGGTGAGGTTGAGAGTAAAAACATGAATGGTGATGCCGGACCATTTCATTTTACTTATATCATCATTTCATGGTAAGGACGAGAGTAAAAGAATGAAGGGTGATGCCGTGCCATTTTCATATCATTAGTTTATCTGATTTCATTGGTTGATGATTTATTTGACTATTACGTGATTTCATACCTGTCATAGTTATCATATTTTTCTCCTTTTTTTTGCAGTCCCCTCCCTATTTGTACGTTGTTATTATCTATTATTGTTACTGCTTCATATATATACTTGAACAGGTTTATTTACGTAGGTGTCCTATCATAGTCTCGTCACTAACTCATCGAGGTTAGGCTCGACACTTACGGAGTATATTGGGTCGGTTGTACTCATATTACACTTTTGCACTTCTTGTGTAGATTCTGGTATTGGTCCAGTGGTGCGTGAGGCGTGTCAGCTCGGATCATTGCATATGGAGACTTAAGGCAGATCTGCTGGCGTTTGCTGACCTTGAAGTCCCCTTCCTCTTCCCTCTTTTACTATTCATTCCCTTTGAAACAGTTGTATTTATTTCAGACTCTGTTTGTAGAACTAATAGTTGCTCGTGTACTCATGAATCTGAATCTTTAGGAGTAGATATTATCACATGGCTTATATTGGTACTATATTAGATTGAGTTTCTATTACTAATTCTACAACATCATTGTGTTTAAACTATTAAAAATTGGCCAATTAATTATCTCACGTCGGCTTGCCCAGCAAGTGGATGTTAGGCGCCATCACGACCCCGAGGCTAGGATTCTCGGTCGCGACAAGTTATTATCAGAGCCCTAGGTTGTCTAGGTCTCACGAGTCATGAGCAAGCTTAGTAGAGTCCGTAGGATCGGTACAGAGACATCTGTACTTATCTTCCAGTGTCTATGGAGTTTAGGAATAATTCCACTTCATTCCTTCTCTATTGTGCGATTTTATTCTATCATTGATGATTGAACCATTCTATTCTTGTTCTCTCGCAGATGGCGAGAACACGCACAGACAGGAGCCGGAGCCCCCTCTGGCAGCTACTACCAGAAACAGAGGCAGAGGCCGAAGTCGAGCCAAAGGCCGAGGCAGAGGTAGAGCTCAGCCTAGAGCTCGAGTGGCAACACCCGCACTATAGCCTCAGATTTATCACGAGGATGAGGTCCCAGCTCAGATCGTGCCCGTCGGACCAGCTTAGGTCCCGAAGATGCTCATCGCCACTCCAATACTTCAGGACGCTCTAGTACGCTTGGTGGGCCTTATAGAGAGTGTGGCCAAGACCGCTGCATTTTTGGTGGCACCATCCGTCTCTCGGGCTGGGGGAGTAGCACATACTCCTGCAACTCACACCCCGGAGCAGGCGGCTCCCGTATATCAAACTCCAGCAGCCTAGCCTGTTAGGGTGGTTCAGCCGCTTGTTGTTGCACAGGTTGGTGATAAGCCCGTTATGTCTTCTGAGGCCTTGTTGAGGTCGAATAAGTTTACCAAGCTCTTCCCTATTCATGTATGTGGTGCACCTTCTAAGGACCCACAGGATTACTTGCACCATTTCCACGAGGTGTTGTGCAACATGGGTATAGTTGAGACCAATGTGGTCGATTTTGCAGTGTTTGAGATGACCGGCTCTGCCAAGAGATGGTGGAGAGATTATGAGGGTGTTTGTATTGACTTAAAAGCTGGTCAAACCGGCTTAAAAATACTTTTGGGCTTATTTGAGTGTTTAGATAGACTACAAAAGTGCTTTTAAGCCAAATACTTTTAAGCTAAAACACCCAAAACAAGCCAAAAGCAATAAGCCTAACTTATTGCTTTTTGGCTTGTAAGCCCCTTATGTTTGACCAAGTAATTTACCTTATTATCCCTTTTACTTTTTCTAAACTCAAAACTATCCTTCCCTTACTAATTAAATCTCGTGTCATCTAATGGTTGTTTTCAAGTAATCTGCTGCCATTCCCCAAAATTTTATCAATTTCTTTGAAGTTGTAAACGTAAAGCAAACTGTAGCTTTGTAAATGTTTGATACATTTTAATATTTTGTATACACTGTTTTGTTTTAGCTTCTTTTTGGGTTCCATAACATTTTTTAAAAAATTGTTGTGTAATCCTTCATTTTTTTTAAATTGGTGAAACTATATTCTAAATCAAAATTTCAATGAGTCTACACGTTAACCTAGAATTTTAAGCTGTGGGCGGAAAAAACATTTTTTGGTGAAATAATAGATTATTGCATGTTATGTAAATAACTAAACTATATTTAGGCAATCAGTTTAAATTGAAAGTAAACTAAATTATAATTTTTTGTTTATGTATTAATTAAGAATAAAATATTATCGTAATCATCTTCTTTATAGTGTTAACAACTTTGAGGATATTTCAGTGATTTTAACAGAAACAAGTGCCAATAATTTTTTTCAGTCTCAGCACTTTTATCCAAACACTTAACTGCTTATTAATAAAATAAGCTCCAGCACTTAAAAAGTGCTTTTAAGCACTTATTATTTAAAAACACTTTTTTAAGCCAATCCAAACGGGGTCTACATATTGACTAGACCAGCTGGTTTGCCTGCACTTACCTAGGATCAGTTTTCACAGCTATTTCTAGAGAAGTTCATTCCTGTCACTATGAGAGAGTATTACCACAAGCAGTTTTAGCGTATTTAGCAGATTAGTATGACTGTTACCCGGTATGAGATTCAATTTATGGACCTAGCTCGCCACGCCATTATCTTGCTTCCTGTTGAGAGGGAGAGAGTAAGGAGATTCATTGATGGGCTCACTTTCACTATCAGGCTACAGATGGCCAAGGAGACCGAAGATGATATTTCTTTTCAGAGGGTCGTAGATATTGCTAGAGGGATCGAGATGATTCATGGTCAGTAGAGAGGGTCGGTGTCTGATAAACCTCGTCGTTTCAGTGGCTTCAGTAGTTCCTCGACTGGAGGTAAGGGTACTTTTGGTAGAGGCCATCCTCTTAGGCCTTTTCAGTCAGTGCTTCAGGCATCCCATGGTGGTTCGGGCAGTCATGGTCCTTATGTGTCTCATCCTGAGAAGCTAGCCTACAGTGCACTGATCTCGTCCAAGTCACACCTCTATTCGACGCCAAATTTCACAAGGAGCTATAAGAATGGGATAAAGTAGTATATATTTGGACTAGGCGCGTGAAGAATCTAGATTGCACTTCCACAAATATGGTTTGTCTTTACTTCTAAAATTATGCTAAGGTTGCAATTCTAAAGATAAGAAACTAGGGAATATTATTTTTGGTTGTTTTTCAAATATTGTAAAAGGCCTAGGGCTATGACCTTCACCTAGGTGTTTGCCTAACGGGTTGTAAACTTTAAAGCTTGTTTTGTTGATCGAGGTGTATTATAGCTATCAGCACTCAATTACCGACTTAATACCTCTCGGTAAGATAGTGATTTTGCCCAAGTTGGCTTTCTCAAGTCCAAATGGGTATTGAACAAAACGGTTGATAAAATGCTCAAGTCGGGTTTTACTATCTCTAGGTTCAACGCTTTAATTGGGACTATCAATCTCTTAATTTCATCCCAAATTCTTGTTAGCCAAATTTTCACTACTAGAAAATGGGCCTATGGCAGCGGATTTTTTGCAACGGTTCAAAAATCGTTACTATAGATGGGTTATTGCTACAGTTGTAACCATTGCAATAAGAAATGGGTACTACCGACACACTTTGACTATAGAACCGTTGTAGTTGAGTGGGAACCGTTCCTATTGGTGTCTGGTTTTGCAGCGTTTATCTGAACCGTTCCAATTGATATATCTATTGCAACGAATCTTGATAAAAGAATTCGATTGGAACAATTATTAATTCCCTCCTAATTTCCCCTCTCAATTTTCGTGGAACCCGCCATAACCTCTCTTCTTTTACATTCTATTTTTTTTCTTTATTAATATTTTTTATGTGATAACAATTAATTAACGTTTAACCAATAAGTTAGGCAAAATAAACAAGTTGATTTCTAACCTTCCATTATCTCTCGGCAAACATAAACCCAAAGAATACCCAGATCCTATAAGGCAAAAAGAAGGATTCTTTATGGAATTAAACCTCAACCCATAACCAAATTCGATAAATCAAAGATGAGAACCAATTTGGTCATACTATTTGGGCGCGATTGAGATTTCTATAATTTTTCAATTAGGGTTTCGATTTGGTCATTCATACTACTTGAAAGAAGGAAGAGAAAGACGAGAGGTTGACGCTAATAAATAGCAAAAAAGGGACACTCAACCAAATTTTCTTCCATCTCTTCGATCCCGTTCCTCGCTGAAAATTGTCGCTAGTAGTTGTGGGAGAAACCATCGATGTAAGTATTTTAACTTTTTTTTATAAATTTGGGATAACCCAAAAAATCCTCCGGCAAAACTTTCATTAATCGCCTCCAGACGACCTAACCTCCCACGGCAAAGCTTTTTTTTTTTTGCTTTAAAGGCATCCAATGTTAGCCCTCAAGCACTGTAACATAATGTTCTTTGCCCAATTTCATTCGCTTGGTCTACATTAATTTTCTTCGCTATTGTGGGTCAAAAAAGTCGAGGTTTCTTAATTTTCTTTATCGTGGGTCAGATTCAAGGTAAGTCCAACTCATTGCTTCTTCTATTTTATTCTAGTTCTTAAAAATTTCTCATCTAAGTGGGTGAACGTATCTCTAGGTTAATATTAGATTTTGAGGCTGTAATTATGTGGGTAAATAGTTTTTTTAAATATACTTTGCTATGTGATCGATTTTGATGTTTCAATAGGTGAGTTGCTCGTTTGTTGGGGTTAAATTTGAGCTCAATCGAGTATGTCATGTACCTCCAATGTTCGATAGAATGCCGGCCTAATAGTAGCAAGTATGCTTGTCACATTCCTCTTCTTTGTTGCAAGAGTTAGTCACCATTAATGTCCCTAGATAATATTGTCGCGCTTAGGCTATATTTGGTTTAGTCCATTGTGTGGTGTGCATTCTTCTCAGGCGGGAGGTGTTTTAAAACTTGTGGTATCTGTCGTTTTGTTATGTGTCCTATTTAGTTAGTGAAACTGTATGGGGATAAGGGGAGAACCTGATATTATGACAGGAGTTGAAGCTACTCAGTGGTTGTATTGGCATTATTGCTGATGGACCTTGAAGCATCAAATATTTACATTTATAATTCCTTTCAACATTAAAACTTACTATTCGGGTTGTCTCCAAAGTGTAGTACATGATGAGTCGAACTGAATTTAGCTGCGTATTCTCTGTGGCAATTTGCAGATTGCTGGTGCAGTAGTGGTAAAAAGATATCCGTGAGAAACTCTTGTGCCCTTAGACATCAGGGGAAGTGAATTTGGTGATAAATTTTCAGTGTTTAAAATTCTCTTTACATCGTCTTGTTACTCTAGTGGAGTTGTGTTGCTTGTTTCAAAACTAGAGCTACATTTCTAAGGATTCATGTCATGTATAGTTTTAACTTCAAAAGAACTTTTTTTAAATAATTTTCTTGACATTTGCTCCTGCATTAGGTGTTTTTTGTTAACTTATAGGTCATAAAGAGATTATAAGATCATTCAGTTATATTTCATTAGAAAAATTATGTTATAGTCAATAAGAAAAGATTCAAAGAGCTAACTTTGATGGAAATATATTCTTTGCCAGCTGAAGTCCCATAAAAGAATCGTCCACACAAATCCCCTTATCTCTCTTGATTTTAAATGTTCCCAAGATAGGAAATTAAGTTTGCAGGCAGACATTAAATTAGTCTGACGATTAATTTATCCTTTCTAAAGTTTCTTTCATCAGAACTATACTTTTTGTGCAAACTATCTGAGGGTAAAAATTAAAATAACTGTAGATTTGTGTAATATTTGAAAAGATTAATTGGCCTAAATATTTTCAATCTATAAATTTGCTTGTCTTAATATTAACATTATCAAGGTGCTAAATTTATTGTACCCCATATATTTGAAGCTATTAGGAGCTTATAATAAGTGATTCTAGAACTTTGATGCTTGCATGTGTTGTCATTGCTATTTCTTTATTTCTCAATGAGAAATTACACTTAGGAAGCTATTGTTTTGTTTTCCATTTTTATATAAGATCATCTCTTTTTTGTATCTTAGTGTTTAATTTGTTATTTTCTTTTTTATAATTTAATATTGATGATTATCTCACCAGAATTCACATTTAACTATTAAAATATAGTGTACCATATTTTTGAACTTTTTTGTCCACAATTGTATGTTTTTTATTGCGTTTAAGTTGTGGCCAGGAAGTTATTGGTTATATCACCAGAGCTGTTATGTATGGGAAATCTAGAGTGGAATTCATAGAGATCAGCTAGTATCACACCATATGTCTAGTGGTTGATTGTAACTTATGTAGCCTTAAGAGATTTACTTCATTTGCAGTGATTGCCAATGACAGAAAGTTGGACGTGTTCACACTTATGATGAGTTGTTAGTTAGATAACTATTTATCACACTGTTTTTAGTAGAAAATAGTTTTATCTTTAATTAATTATTTAGCTTTTCATTGTTAAAGTCTGAACTTTGATATTCAACAGGTTCCATGTGAATTTAAGTTTGAAAACCCTAAGTACTTCTAAAGTTAGGAGTAAAGCATATGGATATTGCCGATATATATCTATTACTTTGGTTGTGTAAGACTCTGTTGTTGTTATATGTTGATTCAGATAGAGTGACTTTCACTTGTGCTTGTAATATCATTTATTTTGTATTCTCATACACATGGTTTGTCCCTCAGAAGCTTAAAATTAGTTTCTTCTCAAGTGCGTAAAACGGACATGCTAAAAATTAAATACATGAGTCAAGAACTGTTTGCAGTACTTTCGCTTCTTTAGGAAGAGTTGTTGTTATGTTGGAATGACTTTATGTGCTTTCAAACTGATATCTCGATTTTTTCTCTTCTTACAGGTGGATATGTACAGAAGAAATATAAATGAGGTGAAATTTGACCGAGGCTAATTTTGCTAATAGGTAATTGTCATCTACCTTAGTCTTGAATTTGAGAAAACATTGGTCGATAATTGCAAACTTTTTGTCGTTTCTATTTGTTATTTCCCCAGTATTGCCCATTCTATAAAATATTTATGTCCTCTCTCAAGCTGATATGTAGATTTGTTAAATTTGGCTTGTATAGTTCCTGTCTTAAACATGAGTTTAGGCTTGTGATCAGAAATACTGAAAAGCCAATGCCTACCGAAATTAGTTTTAGATATTTATTCTTCACCTATTATTCCTATTGGCCTCATTTTGCTTATTGTACGGAGTTCTAGGTCCGTTCATTAACCAAATAATTGTAGAACCAGTGTGAGCTTGATTAACTTCAATCTATTTCTGAAATATAATGTTCTTTCTTTCTCTTGTTTATTTGGTCTATTAATTGCTTCAAAGTGTACTGCTCATTTTCAAGTTCAGTTGCAATTTGTTTCCCGTTGGTTTTGTTGATTTTATCTTTGTTCTGGCCCTTCTTGCTAACTATAGTAGCCTATCATTTCCACTATGGTGAAATAAGAAGGGTCAGAATAATACATGGTGCCATAGAGAAGATCTCATTTATCACTCAGAATAATACAGACAATATTTGAATACTGGCTGTGCCCACTTAATGTACATTCTACCTTTATGATGTGTCACGATATTAGTCTATTCATTGAAAACATATTCTTTTGTGAATTATTTATTGATTATTTATTTATCATCTTTTGTAGGTGACAAAAATGACCCGAGAGTAGCCAAAAACAATGGAAATCTTATTTAAGAGTATTGACAGATTGTTGTTCCATTAGATTTCTAGCAATCCATCATTTTTGAAACCTTTTCAATGTATGCTAACTCTTGATTGTGAAACAATGTTGTAATTATTTTTCATTTTATATATGGATAATAGTAGTTGGAAATTTTGGATTATTTTGGTTGATAAATAGCTTCCTTTCATGGTTTGTAATAATATCAGTGTATTATATTATATCATGTAGATAAATAGTTTTTTTATAATCAAATATATAAAAGAATAGCCGTTGCAATAGCTCCCCGTAGCCGTTACAAAATGTAATAAGAATTCGTTACTATAGAATCAAAAAATCGTTGCAGTACCCTCAGGGGCTATAGCAAAAGATTATGTTGCAACGGTTCAAAACCGTTGCCATAGACCAGAATAACTGTGGCACTAGATAAAAAGGAAACCGTTGCAATAGATACGGCTACTGTAAAAGAATTTTAACCGTGGCAAGAAACCATTGCGATAGATCTATTAGCACGTGACCTGATGGAACGGAGCCAAAACCGTTGCAATATTGCAACGGTTTTCCTACCTACGGCAACGGTATGACAACCGTTGCCATAGGCCTAATTTCTGGTTGTGGTGCAGACCGTAGAACAAGAGACATGCGGCCGCAATCCAGAATTGCGCGGCCGCAGATCCAGTTCCTATCAAGTCTCAAAGCAAAGTGCGGACTGCACATGGAATTGTGCGGCCGCAGAACCTCAGAAAGGGCAATTTTGTTCGAAATTTCCAGCTTTGTATAAATAGGATAGTTTCACGAATTTAGGTCAAGTTTTGAATATTGGTCCTGCTGTAGCCATTTTTACTTACTGCTTTAGGCAACTTTAGCTCATTTTAGTGATATAACATTGAATTTTTGTCTTTTAATCTTTGAATATGAGTTTTATCATTTTTTTTCTTCCTTGTTTTTTTCTATACCCATTATAAGTAGCTAGATTTTTAACTAGGGTTTTGACCCAGCCCTAGTGTGTAAACCTAATGGGTGTTTGATTTATGGCTTGTTTATGGTTGGTGTTGATTATTTAGCCTTGTTCTTGATTTTTATTGTAGAATTAATGGTTGCAATGCCTACTTGACTTGGTCTCTACTTGAGAAAGAGAGACTTAGTCTAGGAACAAATCCTGGTGCGGCCGCATAGGGTCCTTCTGCAGACCGCACAAATCTGAGTGCGATTGCGTGGCTGACTTTTGCGGCTACACAATAATTGTGCGGTCTGCATTTCCTTTAGGTTTGAAATGAGACTTCTCTGAACTTGAACTCTAGCATAGCTTCTGCGGCCGCACAATAATTGTGCGGTCCGCACATTACATTAGGGCTCTGACAGACTTCACTTCGCCTTCTGCGGCCGCAAATAGAATTCTACGGTTCACACTTGAGCCTTTTTGCCTGATTTTGGTTCTTCAGTTCAGATCACTCCTTCTTGAGTTGGACTTCATATTTGTGGCTCATTTTCCAACACTATTGCAATTTAGCATATTTCATCAGTTTTCGGGAATATAATTAAACACTTTTGGACTAAAACAAAATCTAAAATGCGCTAATAAGTAGTCAAAATCCCCACTTATCAACTCCCTCAAACTTCAGCTTTTGCTTGTCCTCAAGAAATTAAAGTAATTCCCACCTCCACAAGTTAAGAGTTATTCCAGCTAATCTAAGGTGCATGAATCACACATCAATTGGGACCAACAGTTACCCACAACACTTATGAATTATCAACAAGACAATTATTTGAATTTTAAAGCACAAATAGTTCTAGTGTGACACTTGAGCATCAAGAGTTGACTCTATTCATCAAGGAAGCTCGCTCTTTCATGTAGGTCATATTGGATCCCAAACTCCTCCTCCTCTATTCATCAAGTTCAGTCATCTTGAAATCACGCAGGGCTTTTTCAGAATGTAATGAAGGCTTTTGTACTGAGGTAGGAAATGTTGGAATAGAACGGATTCATCTTTCTTTAAGTACATCATTTTCTCTTTTTGGCTCATGTTTCTCCTTCTTTGTTTTCTCCATGCTTTGCACCATTGCTTTTCTTTGAATCCCTTCAAATCTTCAACTTATTAACTTTTTTTTTGCATTTTTCTTTTGTTCTTTCTTTGTGCCTTTATACCACTTTTAAACTCCTTGTCTCTCCCTCAAACTTATGTTGTAGCCAATTGTTTCTCACGAGTGTTAAGGAAAGCTCGGGTGCCAAGAGAGGTGTAACGAACCGACCGATCGTTTTGAGAATTAACGCCCCGATATCCTATTAACTGCTTTTCCCGTATCTTTTTCTGCTATTGTGATTTGCCGAGATGGTTTATTTTGAGTTTCGGAGTGATTTGGGAAACTTAGTCCCTAAATGAGAGTTTAAGTCTTAGAATTTGGACCGTAGTCAGAACAGTGTGAAGACGGCTCCGGAATAGAATTCCGTCAATTCTGTTAGCTCCGTTGGGTGATTTTGGGCTTAGAGGCATGTTTGGATTGTGTTTTTGAGGTCCGTAGCTCATTTAAGCTTGAAATGGCAAAAGTTGAATTTTTGGAGTTTCGGGTCGATAGTGAAAATTTTGATATCGGGGTTGGAATCCGATTCCGGAAGTTGGAATAGGTCCATAGTGTTGAATATGACTTGTGTGCAAAATTTGGGGTCAATCGGACGTGATTTGGTTGGCTTTGACATCGGTTGTAGAATTTTGAAATTTCAAGTTCATTAAGTTTGGATTGGAGGGTGATTTGTGATTTTAGCATTGTTTGATGTGATTTGAGGGCTTGATTAAGTTTGTATGGTGTTTAATGATTATTTGGTATGTTTGGTTGAGGTCCTGGGGGCCTCGGGTTTGTTTCGGATGCTCAACGGGTCATTTTTGGACTTAGAGAAGTGACAAATTTTCTGGTGTTTTGTTGCAGAGAAATCCTTCATCGCGTTCGCGAGAGGAGCCTCGCGTTCGTGTAGAGCATCTGGGAGAGGCAGCTAAGTTGTACTTCGCATTTGCGATGATGCTCCCGCATTCGCAAAGGTGTGGAACCTTTAGCCTACGCATTCGCGACATGGCCCTCGCGTTCGTGAAGGGACAACCGGTGTAAACTACACGTTCGCGAGAGAACCCTCGCGTTCACGAAAGAGGAAGTTTGGCCAGTGGGATTTTGTTCATTGCGTTCGCAATGGTAGTCTCGCGTTCGCGAAGAAGAACGCATCTGGGCAGAGTTTAAAGTCCAAAAACGAGGGTTTGAGTTCATAACTCAAAAAATGGATTGGGAGCTCTGTAGGAGGCGAAATTTGGAGAGATTTTCGGAGGAAGTTTGTGGGTAATGATTCCTAACTCCTTTTTGATATATCCCATTAACCAAATCTTAATTTCATCATTTAATTACGGATTTGGGGTGAAAATTGGGAAAAATTGAGAAAAGTTCTTAGGCTGAATTTTGGGATTTTGATCGAGATTTTGGTATCGGATTTGAGTGAATTTGGTATGGTTAGACTCCTGAGTGAATGGGTGTTCATAATTTGTTACTTTTACCCGATTCCAAGACGTGAGCCCGGGGAGGATTTGCTTTGGGACTACAGAACGGTATTCCGGGAGATCCCCTTGCCTGTTTACTTTGGGACTACTCATCGGTATTCCGGGAGATCCCCGTACACATTTATATTTGGGACTACGGGACGGTATCCCGGGAGATCCCCCTGTACATTTACGTTTGGGACTACGGGACGTTATCCTGGGATATCCCCTGTTGCTATCTCTGTGTACTGAGTTAATTCATTCTATGATTTCATTTTCATTGACTGTTAGTATTTTTAACTATACTGCCATATTTCATACTGCTCTTACCTTGTTTTATATATATATATATATATATATATATATATATATATATAAAATCGGTGGGGCCCTGACCTTCCTCGTCACTACTCGATCGAGGTTAGGCTTGGCACTTATTGGGTACCGCTGTGGTGTTCTCATGCCTTTTCCTGCACATGTTTTTCGTGTGCAGATCCAGGTTCTTCTTTTTAGCCATACTATCCTTGAGGCGAGGCGATCCAGAGACTTCAAGGTATATCTGTCGCGTTCGCAGACCTAGAAGTCCCTCTCTATTCTCCCTTCAGTAATAGACTTCTTGTATTTTCCTTCGTTTAGACTTCTGGAGTTAGAACAATATGTATTTGTTTAGCTTGTGATTCATGAGATTTCGGGTTTTGGGAGTGCTATGTTCAGTTCAAGAGTTTTATTATTGTATATGTCGAGCAGCATTTTAAACTCTTTTCTTATTATATTTACTTGCTAGTTGGCTAGTTTTGTATCTTTAATTCATTTCCATAAATTGTTAGTCTTACCTAGTCGTAGAGACTAGGTGCCATCACGACAGTTCACGGAGGGAGAACTTGGGTCGTGACTAGTTGGTATCAAAGCTCTAGGTTCATAGGAGTCTTGAATCACAAGTCGATTTATTAGAGTCTCACGTATCGGTACGGAGGCGTCTGTACTTATCTTTGAGAGGCTATGTAACTGTTAGGAAAATTCTACTTCATTTGATTTTCTTGTCGTGCGAGATTTTTGATATCGAAATTCTAAACCTCTGTCTTCTATTCTCTCACAGATGGTGAGGACACGTGCTACTGGAGATGACCAGGCACTCGTGCCCCCTGCTAGAGCCGCCAGAGGCCGGGGCCGGGGTAGAGGCCAAGGACGCGCACGTGGTGCAGCCAGAGTACATGCACGAGCTTCTACAGTGGAGCCGCAGCAGCTCCAGCCGGAGCCCAGGCACCTGATATGCCTACTGCTACTAATACTCCAACTCTCCAGGAGACCGTTGCACAGTTTATGAGCATGTACAGCACTCTAGCTCAGGCAGGGTTTATTCCCCTTGCTGCAGCCACATCTCAGGCCGGGGGCGAAGCACAGACTCCAGCCGCCCGCACTCTAGAGCAGCGGGTTCAGGTTGATCAGATCCCAGAGGTTATACCGGTACTACTTGTAACCCCAGCTCAGCGGGAGGATAGGGCGGTAGCTTTAGAGGAGGAGCAGCGGAGGCTTGAGAGGTTCAAGAAGTACCAACCTCCTACATTTAGTGGTCTAGCATC